AATGCTGTAAAGAGTTTTTATGAGGATAGTGAGGCTCAGGTTAGGGTATGTAGAAGAGAGGGAGACTACTTCCCGGTAAAAGTAGGTCTTAGACAGGGATGTGTAATGTCACCATGGTTGTTTAATATATTTATAGATGGGGTTGTAAAAGAAGTAAATGCTAGGGTGTTCGGGAGAGGGGTGGGATTAAATTATGGGGAATCAAATACAAAATGGGAATTGAGACAGTTGCTTTTTGCTGATGATACTGTGCTTATGGGAGATTCTAAAGAAAAATTGCAAAGGTTAGTGGATGAGTTTGGGAGTGTGTGTAAAGGTAGAAAGTTGAAAGTGAACATAGAAAAGAGTAAGGTGATGAGGGTATCAAATGACTTAGATAAAGAAAAATTGGATATCAAATTGGGGAGGAGGAGTATGGAAGAAGTGAATGTTTTCAGATACTTGGGAGTTGACGTGTCAGCGGATGGATTTATGAAGGATGAGGTTAATCATAGAATTGATGAGGGAAAAAAAGGTGAGTGGTGCGTTGAGGTATATGTGGAGACAAAAAACGTTATCTATGGAGGCAAAGAAGGGAATGTATGAAAGTATAGTAGTACCAACACTCTTATATGGGTGCGAAGCTTGGGTTGTAAATGCTGCAGCGAGGAGGTGGTTGGAGGCAGTGGAGATGTCCTGTCTAAGGGCAATGTGTGGTGTAAATATTATGCAGAAAATTCAGAGTGTGGAAATTAGGAGAAGGTGTGGAGTTAATAAAAGTATTAGTCAGAGGGCTGAAGAGGGGTTGTTGAGGTGGTTTGGTCATTTAGAGAGAATGGATCAAAGTAGAATAGCATGGAAAGTGTATAAATCTGTAGGGGAAGGAAGGCGGGGTAGGGGTCGTCCTCGAAAAGGTTGGAGGGAGAGGGTAAAGGGGGTTTTGTGGGCGAGGGGCTTGGATTTCCAGCAAGCGTGCGTGAGCGTGTTAGATAGGAGTGAATGGAGACGAATGATATTTGGGACCTGACGATCTGTTGGAGTGTGAGCAGGGTAATATTTAGTGAAGGGATTCAGGGAAACCGGTTATTTTTATATAGCCGGACTTGAGTCCTGGAAATGGGAAGTACAATGCCTGCATTATAAAGGAGGGGTTCGGGATATTAGCAGTTTGGAGGGATATGTTGTGTATCTTTATACGTATATGCTTGTAAACTGTTGTGTTCTGAGCACCTCTACAAAAACAGTGATTATGTGTGAGTGTGGTGAAAGTGTTGAATGATGAAAGTATTTTCTTTTTGGGGATTTTCTTTCTTTTTTGGGTCACCCTGCCTCGGTGGGAGACGGCCGACTTGTTAATATATATATATATATATATATATATATATATATATATATATATATATATAATATATATATATATATATATATATATATATATATATATATATAGAGAGAGAGAGAGAGAGAGAGATAATTATTATTACTAACACTGCAGTTTCCCACCAAGGCATGGTGACGCAAAAAAGAAGAGATACTTTAATCATCATTCACTCCATCATTGTCTTCCCAGAGGCGCCCTCTACACTATAGTTTAAAAACTGCAACATATCTCCACCCCCTCCTTCAGAGTGCAGACACTGTACTTCCCACCTCCAGGACTCAAGTCCGGCTAACCAGTTTCCCTGAATCTCTTCATAAATGTTACTCTGCTCAAACTCCAACAGCATGCTTGTATGCTTGCAGGAAGTCTAAGCCCTTCGCACACAAAACCTTTATCACTGGTAGCACTTCAAAGTAGCGTGGTAGCACTGCGTTTTTTGGTAGTGTGGTAGCACTGCACTACAAGGTAGCTTGGTAGCACTGAGCTACAAGGTAGCATGGTAGCACTGAGCTACAAGGTAGCATGGTAGCACTGCACTACAAGGTAGCATGGTAGCGCTGCACTACAAGGTAGCATGGTAGCACTGCACTACAAGGTAGCATGGTAGCGCTGCACTACAAGGTAGCATGGTAGCACTGAGCTGCAAGGTAGCATGGTAGCACTGCACTACAAGGTAGCATGGTAGCGCTGCACTACAAGGTAGCATGGTAGCACTGAGCTACAAGGTAGCATGGTAGCACTGCACTACAAGGTAGCATGGTAGCGCTGCACTACAAGGTAGCATGGTAGCACTGAGCTGCAAGGTAGCATGGTAGCACTGCACTACAAGGTAGCATGGTAGCACTGCACTACAAGGTAGCATGGTAGCACTGAGCTGCAAGGTAGCATGGTAGCACTGCACTACAAGGTAGCATGGTAGCACTGAGCTGCAAGGTAGCATGGTAGCACTGCACTACAAGGTAGCATGGTAGCACTGCACTACAAGGTAGCATGGTAGCACTAAGCTGCAAGGTAGCATGGTAGCACTGCACTACAAGGTAGCATGGTAGCACTGCACTACAAGGTAGCATGGTAGCACTGCACTACAAGGTAGCATGGTAGCACTGCACTACAAGGTAGCATGGTAGCACTACACTACAAGGTAGCATGGTAGCACTGCACTACAAGGTAGCACTAGGAGGCGGCCACTGAAGGTTCGCTTCCATCATTGTTGACACTTTTGATGGCTGTGGGTTCTCCTTGAAGTATAATGAAGCAGCGGCGGCGGCCGTGGTTTCAGCGGCGGCGGCTGCGGCAGTTTGGGCATTCTTGGTCTCATGAGGGCGTGGGCACAGTGCCAACCATCGTCAGGGGCAGCGCCTTGGCATGGGTGACGGGAACTGTGCTGGTAGGTAGCCCACAGTATGTGACCACCACTACTACCACCACTACCAACACCACCACTATCACCACCACCACTATCACCACCATTTAATCCAGCTACCCCAAGTATCAGTGTTACCGATGTTGACATGCTCTAGCTCTCGTCACACGCTGGCTGTCGTGTGCAGTATGCATCTTGTGTGTGTACCTGACGGAGGTCCCAGGTGTAGCTAGTGTATAGTGCTAGGCTTCTAGTGCTCCCATCTTGCTAGGGGCCACGCCCACAGCAGTGTCCTCACGCCCACAGCAGTGTTCTTACGCCCACAGCAGTGTTCTCACGCCCACAGCAGTGTCCTCATGCCCATGCTTTGGACTCACAGAAAATTTGTGGTTGTTGGTGGAGTGTGTGGCACTGTGTTAAACTGGTGTTATGTTGCCTGCCATCACTACCCTGCAACACAGTACGTGGCTCCACGCCCTACTACACAGTACGTGGCTCCACGCCTTGCTACACACAGTACGTGGCCACACACAGTACGTGGCTACACACAGTACGTGGCTCCACGCCCTACTACACAGTACGTGGCTCCACGCCTTGCTACACACAGTACGTGGCCACACACAGTACGTGGCTACACACAGTACGTGGCTCCACGCCCTGCTACACAGTACGTGGCTCCACGCCTTGCTACACACAGTACGTGGCCACACACAGTACGTGGCTACACACAGTACGTGGCTCCACGCCCTGCTACACAGTACGTGGCTCCACGCCTTGCTACACACAGTACGTGGCCACACACAGTACGTGGCTACACACAGTACGTGGGTCCACATAGTTCGTGGCTACACAGTCTACTATGTTGCCTATCATCGCTACGGTGCTACCCCTTGTACGTTGCTCTTCACTTTAGTTTATGTAACTGTAATACTCCTAAGTGACCGCGTGTTACTTGAATAATGTTCCTGGTTATTGTCTTGTTACTGTTACTTTGTGTCAGTCACTAAACATTATTTTCTTGTAACAGTGAATGCATGTTGTTTTTTAAGTATACAGTACACAGTCTGGAGCTATGTAAGGTGTACTGTCAGTGTCCCAAGATTACCAACCAAAATAGTCGACAGGCACCCAGATACCTATTTACTACTAGTAGGTGTAAGATTTGACCATACATCTCGCATAGCCAGGGAATCTGACCCCAGGTGATTTTGCTTGCGAGCTGAGTTGCTTACTACTGGGTTGAACCCGCTCTTCTGCACCGTCCAGCAACTCTTTGAAGGCTGGCACCTTGTATGTTGTCGGTCGTGAGGTCTGTGTGCTGTGCCAGTTGGTGTTTGTGTTGTCACCTGTGTGTGTTGTGCCAGTTGGTGTTTGTGTTGTCACCTGTGTGTGTTGTGCCAGTTGGTGTTTGTGTTGTCACCTGTGTGTGTTGTGCCAGTTGGTGTTTGTGTTGTCACCTGTGTGTGTTGTGCCAGTTGGTGTTTGTGTTGTCACCTGTGTGTGTTGTGCCAGTTGGTGTTTGTGTTGTCACCTGTGTGTGTTGTGCCAGGTGGTGTTTGTGTTGTCACCTGTGTGTGTTGTGCCAGTTGGTGTTTGTGTTGTCACCTGTGTGTGTTGTGCCAGTTGGTGTTTGTGTTGTCACCTGTGTGTGTGTTGTACCAGTTCGTGTTTGTGTTGTCACCCGTGTGTGTTGTGCCAGTTGGTGTTTGTGTTGTCACCTGTGTGTGTTGTGCCAGGTGGTGTTTGTGTTGTCACCTGTGTGTGTTGTGCCAGGTGGTGTTTGTGTTGTCACCTGTGTGTGTTGTGCCAGTTGGTGTTTGTGTTGTCACCTGTGTGTGTTGTGCCAGTTGGTGTTTGTGTTGTCACCTGTGTGTGTGTTGTACCAGTTCGTGTTTGTGTTGTCACCCGTGTGTGTTGTGCCAGTTGGTGTTTGTGTTGTCACCTGTGTGTGTTGTGCCAGGTGGTGTTTGTGTTGTCACCTGTGTGTGTTGTGCCAGGTGGTGTTTGTGTTGTCACCTGTGTGTGTTGTGCCAGTTGGTGTTTGTGTTGTCACCTGTGTGTTGATAGAGGTGTCATCCTTCATGTGGTTCTCCTGATTGTGTGACCCATGATTGACCTGGACCACCAGTATGATAGTAGTGTTGATCTGTGTGACCCATGACTAGTGAGTAGTGACCTGGATCACCAGTATGATAGTAGTGTTGATGTGTGTGACCCATGACTGGTGAGTAGTGACCTGGATCACCAGTATGATAGTGTTGGTCTATATCTCCTCAGCTCTCCGTCTCCAGCGTCGACACTGAAGCACAGAGAGGAGACAGTCCCTCGCTGGATCCGTCGTGGGTAAGACAGCAATAGTACTGCTGCCACACTTGTCTTGCAACAATTGTACTGCTGCCACACTTGTCTTGCAACTTGCAACTAATACTCAAACTCCAGTCGAATTTAGGGAACGTTTCAGTCTGTAATGGACCATTGATCATCTTGGTTATGTTCCAGGATGGACTGAAACGTCACCTTGTGCCAGCACCAGTTTATATAGTGCGAATTGTTGCAGTCACAGTATTGTGATTTATAGTCTTCTTGGCATGCAACCATGATGGAAGTTGTGCACTGTTGCATGGTGTTGTGTTGATCCATCCCTACCTTGATCTCTCTCCCATCACCACGTCACCACTACCACGTCACCAATAACACCACGTCACCTCTACCACCATGTCACCATTACCACGTCACCACTACCACCACGTCACCACTACCACCACGTCACTACCACCACGTCACCACTACCACCACGTCACCACTACCACCACGTCACCACTACCACGTCACCACTACCACCACGTCACCACTACCACCACGTCACCACCACCACCACGTCACCATCTGATGATAATCAATCTGGCACCATTTGCTGCTGCTGCTGTGAAGTTTGGCAGCTTCTGACTTATTACTTGGAATTAACGTGAGTTATCCACCCAGAAACACCAGCCTTCCCGTATCACATCCCCGACTGCGCTACACGACAAGTGTGTACACTGAACACTGTGTAACACTTACCAGGAGTGGAGACTCCACTTACTACAATGATGACATGTTTCTTGTACCCTGACACCAGGATATATCATGTGTGGCACTGTGGTGTGGAGGGTGACTGTTAGACCTCATGTGTGGCACTGTGGTGTGGAGGATGACTGTTAGACCTCATGTGTGGCACTGTGGTGTGGGGGGTGACTGTTAGACCTCATGTGTGGCACTGTGGTGTGGAGGATGACTGTTAGACCTCATGTGTGGCACTGTGGTGTGGAGGGTGACTGTTAGACATGTGTGGCACTCTAGTGTGGAGGGTGACAGACCTCGTGTGTGGCACTGTGGTGTGGAGGGTGACTGTTAGACATGTGTGGCACTGTGGTGTGGAGGGTGACTGTTAGACATGTGTGGCACTGTGGTGTGGAGGGTGACTGTTAGACATGGTGTGTGGCACTGTGGTGTGGAGGGTGACTGTTAGATATGTGTGGCACTGTAGTGTGGAGGGTGACTGTTAGACATGGTGAGTGGCACTGTGGTGTGGAGGGTGACTATTAGACATATGTGGCACTGTGGTGTGGAGGGTGACTGTTAGACATGTGTGGCACTGTGGTGTGGAGGGTGACTGATAGACATGATGTGTGGCACTGTGGTGTGGAGGGTGACTGTTAGACATGTGTGGCACTGTTTGGAGAGTAACAGACATGTGTGGCACTGTGGTGTGGATGGTGACAGACATGTGTGGCACTGTGGTGTGGAGGGCGACAGACATGATGTATGACACTGTGGTATGGTGGGTGACTGTTAGACATGTGTGGCACTGTGGTGGGGAGGGTGACTGTTAGACATGTGTGGCACTGTGGTGTGGAGGGTGACTGTTAGACATGATGTGTGGCACTGTGGTGTGGAGGGTGATTGTTAGACATGTTTGGCACTGTGGTGTGGAGGGTGACTGTTAGACATGGTGAGTGGCACTGTGGTGGGGAGGGTGACTGTTAGACATGGTGTGTGACACTGGTGTGGAGGGTGACTGTTAGACATGGTGTGTGGCACTGTGGTGTGGAGGGTGACAGACATGATGTGTGGCACTGTGGTGTGGTGGGTGACTGTTAGACATGTGTGGCACTGTGTTGTGAAGGGTGATTGCTAGACATGATGTGTGGCACTCTGGTGTGGAGGGTGACTGTTAGACATGGTGTGCGGCACTGTGGTGTGGAAGGTGACTGTTAGACATGTGTGGCACTGTGTTGTGAAGGGTGATTGCTAGACATGATGTGTGGCACTCTGGTGTGGAGGGTGACTGTTAGACATGGTGTGCGGCACTGTGGTGTGGAAGGTGACTGTTAGACATGTGTGGCACTGTGGTGTGGAGGGTGACAGACATGATGTGTGGCACTCTGGTGTGGAGGGTGACTGTTAGACATGATGTGTGGCACTGTGGTGTGGAGGGTGACTGTTAGACATGATGTGTGGCACTATGGTGTGGAGGGTGACTGTTAGACATGGTGTGTGGCACTGTGGTGTGGAGGGTGACTGTTAGACATGATGTGTGGCACTGTGGTGTGGAGGAGTGACTTAGACATGATGTGTGGCACTGTGGTGTGGAGGGTGACTGTTAGACATGATATGTGGCACTGTGGTGTGGAGGGTGACTGTTAGACATGTGTGGCACTGTGGTGTGGAGGGTGACTGTTAGACATGTGTGGCACTGTGGTGTGGAGGGTGACTGTTAGACATGTGTGGCACTGTGGTGTGGAGGGTGACTGTTAGACATGATGTGTGGCACTGTGGTGTGGAGGGTGACTGTTAGACATGATGTGTGGCACTGTGGTGTGGAGGGTGACTATTAGACATGATGTGTGGCACTGTGGTGTGGAGGGTGACTGTTAGACATGATGTGTGGCACTGTGGTGTGGAGGGTGACTGTTAGACGTGTGGCACTGTGGTGTGGAGGGTGACTGTTAGACGTGTGGCACTGTGGTGTGGAGGGTGACTGTTAGACGTGTGGCACTGTGGTGTGGAGGGTGACTGTTAGACGTGTGGCACTGTGATGTGGAGGGTGACTGTTAGACGTGTGGCACTGTGGTGTGGAGGGTGACTGTTAGGCTTCCCCTCACTGCTGTTAAAATAGATCATGATGGTGGTGTAAGCTGTGCTTGAGGCAGCACAATACCTGCCAGGCTTACCTTCCTGGTCTACCTGCCTGGGTAACTTACCTTCCTGGTGTACCTGCCTGGGTAACTTACTTTCCTGGTGTACCTGCCTGGGTAACTTACTTTCCTGGTGTACCTGCCTGGGTAACTTACTTTCCTGGTGTACCTGCCTGGGTAACTTACCTTCCTGGTCTACCTGCCTGGGTAACTTACCTTCCTGGTCTACCTGCCTGGGTAACTTACCTTCCTGGTGTACCTGCCTGGGTAACTTACTTTCCTGGTGTACCTGCCTGGGTAACTTACCATCCTGGTCTACCTGCCTGGGTAACTTACCTTCCTGGTCTACCTGCCTGGGTAACTTACCTTCCTGGTCTACCTGCCTGGGTAACTTACCTTCCTGGTCTACCTGCCTGGGCAACTTACCTTCCTGGTCTACCTGCCTGGGTAACTTACCTGCCTGGTCTACCTGCCTGGGCAACTTACCTTCCTGGTCTACCTGCCTGGGTAACTTACCTTCCTGGTCTACCTGCCTGGGCAACTTACCTTCCTGGTCTACCTGCCTGGGTAACTTACCTTCCTGGTCTACCTGCCTGGGTAACTTACCTTCCTGGTCTACCTGCCTTGGTAACTTACCTTCCTGGTCTACCTGCCTGAGTAACTTACCTTCCTGGTCTACCTGCCTGGGTAACTTAATCTGGTGGATTTGGGTAAACTTTACAGCAACGTTACTCCAAGTTTGAATCATTACTGGAGGTAAACTCTCATCCCACTCTTGTTTTAGTTTCCATGCTTCCCGGATAAGGATCTTACCGTTTATAGTGGAGGTAATCAGTCCCAAGGATCAAAGTACTGGGAGATTTCTGAGAGCAGACCACTCTTACTGAGGTTACTCTTAGGTCTGAGGTTAACACCTTTATGGTTCAAGGTGTCTTCCTGGGTAGAAGCAAGAAAATCTAACTTTGAATTCGTGTTATAGCCTCCAAGCAGCATGTTGGTGTTGGTGTTTTGCTATAAAGAATCCTTATATGATTCTCTGTGGTCACAGTTCCCTGAAGATTATCCACACGAAATTACTCAGCATTACTTTCGGAGGAGTTAATGATTTTTTTTTTATTATCACACTGGCCGATTTCCACCAAGGCAGGGTGGCCCGAAAAAGAAAAACATTCACCATCATTCACTCCATCACTGTCTTGCCAGAAGGGTGCTTTACACTACAGTTTTTAAACTGCAACATTAACACCCCTCCTTCAGAGTGCAGGCACTGTACTTCCCATCTCCAGGACTCAAGTCCGGCCTGCCGGTTTCCCTGAACCCCTTCATAAATGTTACTTTGCTCACACTCCAACAGCACGTCAAGTATTAAAAACCATTCGTCTCCATTCACTCCTATCAAACACGCTCACGCTGTCTAGGTTGGTAGACAGCAACCACCCAGGGAAGTACTACCGTCCTGCCAGATGACTGTGAAACAGAAACCTGTAACTGTTTTGCATGATGGTAGGATTGCTGGTGTCTTTTTCTGTCTCATAAACACGCTAGATAACAGGGATATCTTGCTACTCCAACTTACACTTTGGTCACACTTCACAGACATGCACATGCATATATATATATATACATACATCTAGGTTTTTCTCCTTTTTCTACATAGCTCTTGTTCTTCTTTATTTCTTCTATTGTCCATGGGGAAGTGGAAAAGAATCTTTCCTCCGTAAGCCATGCGTGTCGTATGAGGCGACTAAAATGCCGGGAGCAATGGGCTAGTAACCCCTTATCCTGTAGACATTTACTAATAAAGAGAAGAGTTAATGATGTCCTCTAATAAGTGATCAGTGTGGCTTCCAGCACGAATTGTGATGTGGCGCTAAGCAAAACAGACTTGAATGGGTAGTTTTTCCACAGGAGTCCGAGATTCATGCAGGTATTCTGGGCGCTGGAAGCGGGTATAACTTGTATCACCCTCTTGTAAAGCTACTCTCAGGAAAGCCTTCAAGATGTCAGATGTGTAGACATAAGGGTTCGTGTGAAACTTAACACTTCATCCAGCTTCTCTTGCTTGTAATCAGTAATCAAGTTTAGCCACGTCGCACGATGCAGCTGCGTTGCGATTATACACAACATTTAAAGTGATGGACTTTGAATCGTTAACCGCATGGTGAG